GATGATACGAGACACTATTAGCTATTTCTTTATATGATAGTTGGAATATTCAACAACTTATTGCATCTAAAAATGAGGAAGATGATTAGACCTCCAAAATATTGTGTGTGTATTTTACTTTTAAGTATATTTTGTTATACCTTATAAACATTTTGTTAATAATATAACATTTTAGAATCTCATTAATTAGCTTAAGATGATGTAAGTATCTATTACTTATTTAGAAAACATGTTGAAAACTTTTCAATCCCCAGTAAATTGTGTGTGTGTGTGTGTGTGTGTGTGTATGTGTGTATGCTTCTTTACTTTTGTAAGGTTTAAAATTTCAAAAATATTTCTGAAGAGCATCATCATCATGTTTTGCAAATGTTTCTTATTTTCAAGTTTCTGATTGGATAGCCAGACTCAGAAATATTTGGATGCTAAATACATGTCATCCAAGAGGAAATCATTGAAAAGAAAAATACATAAAATTTTGTACATGGCCAAATGGATAAGAATTGGTCATTACTGGGGGAAAACAAGAAAATAAAAGAAAAAGAAAAGCCTTCCTGTAAAAGTTTTTATTAACGCTGGGACATCTCCTTTTCAGAGGTCCTATCAAAGTACCCCAATTCACTTGGTCCCTGAGGTTTCAACATCCCTAAGGCACAGTGTCAGACCAATCAGTGTTAGCTGGACAAATAGGTATTTTGTTTTGTCCATGATAAACTACTTATGATACTGCCTTACTTGTTGGGTTAGTAAGTTGTTATAGAAAGAAAAACCTATACTTCATAATTTTGCTTTTTCAGTCACTTTTACAGCCATTGGGGAAACAAAGACAAATAAGATGTTGTTTTTATCCTGAGTGCATTTAAAACCACTCTGATGCAGTCTCCATTATTTCTACTGAAAAAATCTTCACCACTGAAATCTAAGGTTTATTGTTATTATTATTTTGTATACTATAGGACTAACTATTATTTGGAGTTTTCATTGGCTACTCAGCTGAACTTATATCTAATTTATTGTTTCTATGATATCATTAATGTGGTTTGAGCTGCACTCCTGTGACAGTAGGGCATACCATCTGGCAAAGGGACCACTTTGGAGATCAACCACGATTTCTAAACGAGTCAAAGAATTAAGCAATTAAAGAGCTCAGAACCATAGCTTCGGATGGGGAAATATATTCATAACTACTAAAATCTGTTTTGGGTCTTCCTGTTCACCTCTACAGCACTACTCTGAGCATTAGAAAAGTCTGGACTTGAGAGAGGAGAATAATGCATCTTTTGGATTTGTTCCACAACTCTCAAATTAAGTGTTGGATGGAATCTGAACATGTACAGATTTTTTATTATTAACTCTACTTTCTTTCTGTATTTTCCAAGTATTATTGTATGTATAGAACCATCAAAACAAATTCTGAGAACTTATTGATATGCAAGATAATGGACCATCCTTTTTGTTTTCACAATGCATAAAGGATGATAGTAATACCATAAACTATGCATTGAGTTATTACTGTGGATTGAGATATGCTCTTTTTTGGTGCCTTAAATCTTCAGAAAAGGCATAAAAGTTTGTGATGTTATCATTGATGACAGAAAGTGAGGGTAGTGAGGAAAAATAATCACACAACAGTAGTAAAACAGGTGGGGCAGTCTATTTGACTTCTTTTACATTGTTCTTTCCACATTTTCTGTTTTCCCACAATTTTTGGTTCCTTATCAAGCACTTTACATGCTGAACTCATGACTTTATATTCATTGATCCCTTCTTTCCTTTGTTCATTGTTCATTCACTGTTGTTTCCCTTTAGTCATAGATTTTTAAAATCACAGACATATTTCCTGTATCTACTTTGCCTAGAGACCTTACATACATATAATTCTGACTCAGTTGTGCTATTGGAAATTTTTAATTTAAGTTGGAAGATAAGACAGGGACACATACTCTTTTATACACAAAATTCATTCACTCAAGTACTATAAACTACCCATGCCCTAACCACTGTGATAAGAAAAGCATACCAGGCAAAGACTTCTCAGATTCAAATGAGAGAAACAGGTGTTGGGTTTTGTTCCAGTGGATCACATGAAGTATGCCAGTTCTGATTTTGAAGAACGAAATTTTATCCTACTGAATTATTGAATCTCATTGAAGAGTAAAGCATTTGGACAAAAACTCAAGCTCTTCTAGGGTGCCAATTCTCACCATGTTCCTCATTGCCAGTCTCATATTTTCATATGCCTGCACTTCTGTGTAACCAGATTTTGGTGGTGTTGTGTAGGACAGGACTCAGGCTGCCAGCTGTCTGTGGTTCACATGGCGCTGCCTGAGTGTCTACGTGAGGTCAGTGGTAATGCATGTCCACTGGTATGATTGGAATGGGCAGGGAGTGCTGTCCACTATCTTGTGTGTGCTAATAAACAGCCACAATGTCAGTGGCACATAGTACCACCCTGCCTTCCCAATTTTCCACAGGTCTGTTGGGTGCTGCCCAGCCTGGCTGCATCCCGTAGACTCCTTCCTAGCTGTGGCCAACGTCGCACTGGGCCCTCCCAGCAGCAGAGCTCAGGAATGTGGCATGTATGCAGTTGTGAGGCTGAGGGTGAGGAGCTGGGTGCTCCCAAGAATACAGTCTTCTAGGCAAAATCATTTTAAACTTCTTGTTCAATCATATGTGTAATGTCACATCAGCCCAAGTCAATACTATAGATCACCTCATCAGGGAGAGGAGGAAGAGAATACAGTACGTGCTCACTGAAATGAAAGAATGAATAGTGAGAAAATTGATGTATTACATCAACATTGAAGGAGAGGTAAAGAATGTAAGTTCATGCCTATAATCCCAGCACTAAGGCAGAAGAATTATGAGTGCAAGCCAGACTGAACAACTTAGCAATATCTTGTCTTGAAACAAAAATAAAAAAATCTTAGGGTGTAGTTCAGTATAAGGCTCTTGGTTCCACTGCAGTATTAAAACACTGACACAATAATAATAATAATAATTTTAGAAAATTACAAATTCAAAAATTTAAAAAGAGGTGTGGATTTAGTTCAGTAAAAAGGTTAAAGTTCAAACAGGACTTTTAGAAAAAAAATTATTAAAAGCATACAAACCCTAAGACAAAGATCTAGAAATGAGAAAATTGTAAACACACTTGAAGACACCCTTGAAGACATTAGGGTCTTAGATTCTCTTTTAACTGGCAATAGCAAGGTACATCAGAAACCTCATGTATCACACACTAAAAATTCTTGTGTATAATAGGCTGGAGTAGGCAGATACTAGAGGTGAAGGGAGTTATTACTCAGTCACTGTAATAATGGAGACCTAAAATGGTGGAGGTAACAATGAAGACTTAAAGGATAGGAAAATGTGAAGGATGTTTCTGATACCTGGTTATTCACTCTTGGGAACTCACCATATATAACAGCAGGCAGCAGGAGCCCAGTTGCTGTATTGAGGCCAACAGAAGATGTTCATGAGATATTGAGGTGAGAGGACTCTGACAGAAATGAGCAAGTCAGATATGGGAGGACCTTGGAAGAGAAGGTGATGAACAGTGAGTGACCCCTGCTGAGTGTCTGAGAAGACTTGGGGAGATCCTAGGAGCTCTGAAGAAGGGCTAGAGATCAAGCTTGTCCATGTGACAGAGCCCCGGAATGCAGATAGTGAAGAGGTAGGAATCAGATTTAAGAATGGAGGTCATCCTGGTAAGCTTAAGTGGAGGAGGCAAATATGAAGAAGTAGTAGTGTGGAGATTATGGTACAGTTGAGTGATGGTGGTCACCTCTTGAGAGGACTTTGATAGTGACAACAAACTGAGACTTTGAAGAAGAAGCAAGGGAGGGAAGAATAGGTTACTGTCATTAGAGTTGTATGTTACATGGGAGTCTTTGAGCAATCCCAAGATAAAAAGAAATGGTTTGAAAATACATAAAGACATGTTTACTTTGAGCTAGGGCCCAGCACTTTGAGGAAAGGGTGACTGTGTCTCTCTCGTTATTCTGAACTATGGCTTGGTTTACGAGCATCTCTTTTGCATTAGGGTATATCTGACTTCTAACTACTAGTCTTCCAAAATATGAAGACTCCTGTTCACATACATCAAGATGTAGATGGGGCGGGGCAGGGAGATAGCTCAGTAGAATAAGCACTTACCTAGCGAGCACAAGGGCCTGAGTTCAATCCCCAGTTCTCAAAAACAAAACAACAACAACAAAAAAGATGTGGATTAGGCAGTTTTTAAATCATGACTGATTTTAATCATGTAACTGGTGGAAAAGCAGTTGGCTAATAGGACTGTGCTCTTTGCTTGCTTCTCAATGTGGCTGTGAGTTTACTTGTGATTAGAGAGAGTAGGTGGGGCCTACTGCTACCACAATTTTTTTTTGAATTCTGTAGAAGAACATGACATAATTGACAGTAGCTTCTTATGTTTTTATAAAACAGATAAAACTGCCAGTATTTACTTAGATAATTATAAGGACATATCACTTCAAGGTATCACTTTTCAGTTTTAAAATAATATTATTTGCTAATTATGTTTTATATATGTGTAAATATACCAAGATCAAACCAACTGTTCTATATAATTGATATGCAATAATAAAACTAAAAATAATATTATTTGTACTGTGTTTATGGGATATAGCATGGTACACTTTCTTTTTTCTGTTAGATTTGATATCACATTAGATATTATTGTAGTTTTCTTCTGTCCCAAAATTCCCATTTCTGATCCTAGTTTGCCATTTCTTATCTAAAATGTACAATGTATCCCTACTGGCAAGAAAAGTTTGCCCAGCTAGATGAATGACATACATCACTTTCTTTTTTCAATTCTATGAGTACGTGTGAAAATCATTCGTATACAAACTTTAAAAATATGGTACCAACTCTAGAACTGATGACAAGTTAAATTTTATTGAGTATCCAGTGTCCCAAACCCTACTCAGTAGCTAGTGCGTGTTGTTCTCTTACGTTTGTGTGTTGCTTCTACACAGAATTGTGATTTGGAACAACAGAGCATCATTCACATTGTTCAGAGACCAGGACAGAGAGATCTGGAAACACATCCTGCTGGTGGGGACAAGAGCAGAAACACTGTGGGAGCCTCTTCCATGGAGCCCACGAGCTTGACGCAGGTGGACCTCAGCAGCTCTCTCTTGCCAGCAGCCTCTGTGGGTCTGGCAGTCATTCTGGACACAGAGAGCAGGAATGGTTCGGATGCAGCACTCAGAAGCCCAGGTAAGTGTAGTGAATATGTCTGTGGCTCGTGAAGCATACTGCTGCTTTAGTGAGGTCTGCTTGGAGAGCGGCCTTACTGTACACAGATCTGTATGCAAGTTTGGAAAAGAGTCTCTTGGGCACTGCAAGGAGATCCCACTAGATGGAGAATAGTGAGACAATTTGAGGGAAATCCATAGATACGATGAAAAAGATTTCAAGTTTAAAATAAACATTAGAAGTGGGTGGAAAAGGTGTCACTATCATAATAATAGGACGTTTTTTCTATGTTGAAGAGCTAAAGTGGTAGGGACGTGTGATAGGTTATCCTGCTTTGAATATATGATTAAAGTATATGCATGTCCCTCTCATGTTATGCTTTTCTTATTTTTAAAAAATGTATGTTGCTTGATTGCTCTTATGATACAAAGAATGTTTTAAAAGTAGAAATAAGTTTTTAGAGATAATTTTAGGCACTTTAAATTTTCTTGTTGCACATGTAGTGTCAACAAGTATCCTGGTCTGAAGACAGTCTTCTTTATCTCTTTGCTGGGCCCCATAAGTGCTTTTTTAGTAAAGTTCCTGCCTGTGCTTTTGTGCTGTTACAACAAAACATTCAAGGTCAACAATGTCTAAAAAACAGAGTTGTGTTCCTCAAAGTTCTGGAAGCTGAGCAGTTGGAGATCAAGTTGCCAGTAGGCTGAAGGTCTGCTGAGGGTTTTTTTTCAGTTTTTATGATGGCTCTTTGTTGATGCTTCCTTTGTGTGGTAGGATGAAGGTCATGTTCTCACAAGATGGAATAGCCAGAAGGGCAAAAGGAGTGAATGATGCAGCTACTATGTCTCCAGATAACCAGCTCATAATAATTTTTATGCTAGAAATATACTTTTTGAAGGACTAGAATATCTTTGTTTTCTATACAATGAAGGTGGAATATTCTTGACTGATTAGTGTTTGTGAGGCATGAGTTCATTTTGATGACATTAATCCCATCTATAAGAGCAGAACCCTCATGATGTAATCACCTCCTAAAAGCTCCATCTCTTAATACTATTACATCAGCTACTATGTGCTTAACTGACTTTTGGAGGGGAAGCAGGTGGTCATCCTTTGTGTGTGTGTGTGTGTGTGTGTGTGTGTGTGTGTGTACCAGGGATCAAACACAGGCCCTTTACTTTCCAGTCAGCTGCTTTTGCCACTGAGTTATCTCCCCAGCCTTGGTTATCCTTTTGTAATTTGGTAATATTAATGTACATTTCTTAGTATTTTATTTTCTTTACAAATAGTCAAAGAAAGAACAGGATTAATTTTTTACAGTATGTACAGAAAGCACAAAATAACTGACTTCATGCATGAGGTAGAAGTTTATTTACTTCCCAGAGATAACAGGTCAACACAGACAGTCTTGGACTAATATAAACTTAAGCATGACAGAGAGTCCTGGGACCAGCAAGATGAAAACCCCAAATAAAAGGAAATGCTTTGCCAAAATTATAGATAAAATTTAATAGCATTTTAAAAACCATAATGAGCTTTCAGGCAATGTATAATTTCTAGGGAAAAATGAAAAAGTACAAACCACATTGTTCATGCCTGTCTTTAAATAAAGGAATTGATAAACCCAGAATGCATGAGCTGTTGTCCTGATATCCTTGGGTGATGGGAATGAAAGGAATACTGTGCCCTCCATGTGCTGGGGCTCAAAAGTGTTCATGCAGTCATAGAAAGAGATTTTTGAGGTAATCAGATTTCGGGTGACATAACTGACATGCTGTTAAGAGGTGAGGACTGGGTACATGAACCGGAAGCATGTCTCCAGCTCCTTGCTTGCTCTCTGCTCCCTGGCCACAAGGATGTGAGCAGACTTCCTCTCCCATTCCCTTTCGCCTTTCCATTTCTGCCCTTGAGCCACGAAGCTCAGACTGTAACTGTGAGCCAAAAGGTCCTGCTCCCTAAACAGCAGCAGTTGGCATTGTGTGCCAGCTACAAGGAGGTGACTTTCAATAATAGATCTGCCTTGCAACCCACCAATCATGGGCTGAATCCATGAGAAATCACACCTCTCCACAAGGTATTATATACCTTCCTAGGTTTTGTGATAGAAGGTTAACTTAAACACACGGTCAGCTAAAGCATAAACAAGGTATATAAATATTTGGGGGGTTATGTTTTTAAATTTTGTTCTATCCTTTTCTTAATAAACATATCCTTACAAATTCATGCTATTTTAGAAAACTTAATGCTTAGATTTGGAGACTTTTCACATTGATACATACAATTGTAGGCCACTTATCTCAAATAAGGGATTACCCTAGGCTTTCCATAGCCTGTTTAAAATGCTGATTATCTGTTCTCATATTCAGCTATAACTGTGGTATCCCGAGTGTGATCATGCACACCTGAAATCCCAGCACTCTGGAAGCCTGAGACAGAAGGATCCAATTTTGAGCCTAACCTGGGGAGCTGAATATCTCAGCTAGACCATGTTTCAAAAATTTAAAAAGGGCTGGGGATGTAGTGAGAGGGTCCTGAATTGAACCTTCAATACCTGCTCCAAGAAAGAGAGAGCTTCATTGTTTCTATTTTTTGAAATCTTAGGTGGTGTCATCGTGGTCATGTATGTAGCTATTTCCTTATCACAGAATAAGAATTGCCTAAATTACACCAATAATTGCAAAGTTGTACAATCGCTCTCTATAGTAGCTAGCAGAATTGCCCATACTATAAAAGTAAAGTAACTATTGTCCTATATACTAACTAACACTGGATATATCAAATTTAAATTTTGCTCATCAGAGAAGGGTGCAATCATATATAACATTGTTGCTTAAATATTCATCTTTGTGATTGCTGGTGAGAGGTTAAGCATAATTTTCCATGTTAATTTGTTACTCTAGTTTTTTGCTAAATGTCATTGTAATCTGCTACTTTGATTCCACCTTGCTTTTGTACCCATCAAACTAATTGAAAATACTTTACCATCAATACACATTCAGACTGATTGTTATTTACTTTTATTGTTTCAGCTTTATCCCTTGCATTGCATTTCTCAATCTTTGGTTCAAACTCATTTCCCTGTTGTAAATACTTCAGTATTTATTCCAAATTAAAGTAAATCAGCTCAGTGTTCCTCTCAAAACATATGTTCCACTTAAGCAATAGTTTTGCTGAGTATAAATCCTAAGTTAAAAGATGTTCTTCTAACCAGTTTGACATTCATTCACTTCCATTTTCTTCTTTATTTCTGTTGGGAGCCATCCAAATTATTATTCCAATCTAAGTAATCTCTTCACTTGTTTTTAAGATCTCTTTGTCCCTAGTGTTTTACTTCCTTTATGAAGTAAGTTTATTTTTAATCTCGATTGTAAGCAATGCATGTCTTTTATATATCTTGCTTGAGACTTTTGAACCACAGAGTTTATCAGTTTTAGAAATGCTTAGTCATTCTTCTAGAAAATTTTCTCTCCTCCTATTCTTGAACAGGTAAAGAATGCTCAAGCAGAAGGGCAAGGGACCAGACATAGACTTGAAGACCTTTCTTCCATGAAGCCATAGTGTATTCTCCCTGTCCCCAGAGAGGATCCCAGAGCCAGTCAAGCTGAACTCTACCTAACAGTCATAGCATGCAATATATTTTATCTAAAAAGGTTATCCTTGAAAGTTAAAGATATTATTCAAACTTGAGTAAAATTGTATATTTTTAAATATCTGAGAAATTTATTTATTAACCAAGTCACTTTATTATGCTAGTAGATTTAGAAATTAGTTCTGCATTGATTTTCACAAATTCTTAATAAAAATAAAACATACTTTCATATTCTTCAGATCAAAATTAAATCCTTCAATAATCTCAACATTAACAATAATAGTATAGCACTTTGCCATCTTGCAAGATGGCAGGTGAAAAAATTGAGAAGCCAGATACCAAAGAGAAAAAACTCGAAGCCAAGAAGGCTTCTGCCAGTGGTACTGGTAAAAAGGGTAAGGTGAAGAAGGAAAAAAAAA